TGGGAGCTGAGTAAATCGTCGACGATGGGCCAGCTCGGTAAGAAGCCGGCTCACGTCCTGTGTGGCGGCTATTGTCACGTCGTCCTGTGACTCGGACATGACCGAAATTCATCACATGGTCATTCCGCTGCGACTTCCTCGCGGCAACGCCCTTTCATTTAAGCTCACTTTCGTAGCATATAAATACTTGTCCTAAGCTTGGCAAGCCCGGGCTTATTAAGCCCACGGCTTGGGCCGGGCTCAGGCTTGGCTCGGGCTCAGGGCTCGGCTTGGCGTCGCCACAAGCCCAAGCCCGGGCTTTGAGCCCAAGCCGGGCCCGCACATCACTACCTGCCAGCGGGTCGTTCCAGAAGTGCATCCCCATCTTCATATGACATGACCTTAGGAAATTGGGATAAGCAGAGTGAGTCATTATCTTGACTCATTGTACGGATATTCATCTGCACTACTCATCCAGGTAGTGAACGGTTTCTCTGCTGTTGGATGCGGCTCCCCACCGAGCTGCATGACTACATTTACGACTTTCTGACAAGCCCCGGCCACAAAGCCGGTTTCTCAACGCTGTCCCTGGTGTCGCAAACCTGGTGCCGATACTTTCGTCCTCGCCTCTTCGCCCGGCTTATTCTGAAAAGTGAGAAGGACTGTCGCATGCTATGCGGCATGGTGCGCTCCCCGCTGTCAGCCTGGCTTGCAGAGCACATCATCGAACTGCGCTTCCACTACATCATCCCTCTTGGCTATCCACTCCGGACAGCTCTCGTTCGTTTCCTCCCTGCCTGCCGTCACATCCGGCATGATTTCCACGACAAACCCACCTGCATGTTGCTATCGCACAACGCAGCTCTGAAGAGCTCACTGTGGAGCATCACCTCTTTGACACTCATCAATTGCAACTTTCCATCATTCCGAATCGTGCTCCGTGTACTAGGGGATATCACCTACCTGGAAAAAGTTGCTTTCTGGAAGATCAAGTGGTCAAATGACCAGCTCACAACAGCTGATACTGTGAGTGACGTCTGCACGGGAGCCTTCAGCCATATCCGCTCAGTTGAAATGGATTTCTGCACGAACAACATGGCAGTGCCGGCTTGGATCCTAGCCGCCGCAAGTACGCAACACTCGTTCACCAGACGTCGGACGCCTGAGCCGACAGCCCCTGCACAAACGTGGGCCATCATCAAGCTCTTCCAGAGATTCTTGGGTGACAGCATGTACAATTCGTGGTTTGATGTCAAGGAGGCAACTGCAGGTGAGCTCAATCAGTCTCTCTACCAAGTTATTGTACTTGCCGGATGATCCCAAGATACTTACAGATTTGTTGGTTCTCTGTCCATGGGATTCCTAGGATCGGACACCGCATACATCTCAGTCCAGGTGGTCAAGTCTGCACCTGCCGCTAACAACAATCAGGCCTGGTCTGTCCGCCAGATCGTCCTTGCTTACGGACCCCACAAAAATTCTCACGCGTATTTTTACTCTCGCGATTGGTCCATGATCGCCTCTCTTCTACTCGCGTTCTCACAACTACAACAGTTCCAGGTCCTCTGCGGGAGAAATTGCTCGGAAAAGGACTTCCGCCTGCTCTCTGACAAGATTGCGGGGGCAGTCAACAACGGTGTGCGTCTGCTCGTCACACCTCAACAGGCGTGCTCAATTCTACATGGATAGGCGTGCTCAATTCTACATGGATGGGATGGGATGGGATGGTTTCGAGCCAGCACACGGTGGCTGTGGCTTTCCCGTTGATGGCATAGATTAGCCGTGAGACATGAATCAGAAATAGATCTGTTCCTAACCCGCCATCCCGCCCTCGAGTCCCGCCTGCTTCCAAAACAAGTAAGTCTATTTGTATGAGATATATAGAGGATGGGGGGCAGTTTGCTCAAGGCGCTGTATATTCTGCAACGGAGAGAGAAGAAAGTGGATTTCTTGAGGCAGGTATACACCACAGCAAGCCAGTGCTTCTTTTCACTGCGCAATACTCAGGCGCCATTGTCGTGGGCGTAGCCCCGGCCTCCTATTTTATTCCCATTTTCTCCAATTTATTTTACGATTATACGACCCTCCAAACGTCGTCGGCGCATAGGCGCCAGTTTACAAGCCATAGCCGCGCGCTAAACACCTCAAGAACGCATCACCGACGGGCACGCATCAGCGCATCAGATGTGCCTGCATCGCCGCCGCCTCGTCGCCGCATCATGCTTCCTCGGTAACAGCCGCACCCCGATCTCCATTGGACATCCGATTCCCGTCGGTCCGATAACGTCATAAGCCATGACACATCGGCCCCGTCTATCTCCGAGTCCGATCGGCAACGGACTTCCTATCCCCGTCGGTCCGACAACGTCATATGGCATGACACACCGGCCCTCGTTTCCCCGCCTAAGTCCCCTAGACACTAGCAGTCGCCGTAGCACCAGTTGCTTATGTAAAGCCTGGTCCGTGCGCAACCTGACTAGTATATAAGGCTCCCCTTTGTCGCTACCTAGCCCCATCTCAACCTCTTGGTTAACTGGGCTAGGTAAGCCTTTACTTGTACCGTAGTACAGATTGCTAATACACTTGGTTAACTGGGCTAGCTGAACAAGCTAACACATTAGTCGCCAGACCTCGTCGGCACCGCCTTCTGATTAGATCCACGCAGTATCCCTCGTGGTGTGTCGACGCAAGTCCACATCAGCCATCGACCACTCCAGTGCAGTTGTAGACTTTGACCGAGTGAGCCTCTCAAAGCTGTTATCCCACAAGCAAACAACAACCCCATGTTCCGCAAAATCCAAGTAATATGCTCAGAGTCAAGTTATGCCATGGGAGCTATGCAAAATTAGTGAGTCACGTCAGGAGTGTCTGCACTGCGCTTGCGAAAGCAGACGCACGCTGACCTGCTGGTCAAGCACCTGGTGGCCAACTCCCTGGTACAGCGCCCGGCTCTGTCTCCAGCGTAGAGTGCGCTAGGATACGGGCCATATACTGGGACCTGTGCCAAAAATTCCTGTTGAGCCAAGCAAATATCTTCCCGAACCAATTGGTGTATTCAGCATGTGGTTGTAAGGCCATAATACTTATTAGCAAGTGAGCTGAAGAGTTACATGATTTCGTATGAAGGCTTGAATGTTATTGGGGTCAACACTCGAGGTTCTTGAAATCACTGCTGTCATCACGAGCCCTTCGCGCGATGTGCTCGTCGCGGTGCCCGCAGCCTGTCATGGTCTATAGGCATATGTCGGCATTATGGAACCTCTTCCAGGCACCACTCTGTGATATTGTCCCGATTCCTCTCTCTCCATTGCATACTGGACAGTGCGTTGCGCGAACTATCCCCTCTACCTCACAGTCACTGTGAACGGTCCCTATTTGTTTCGTACAAATAGACTTACTTGTTTTGGAAGCAGGCGGGACTCGAGGGCGGGATGGCGGGTTAGGAACAGATCTATTTCTGATTCATGTCTCACGGCTAATCTATGCCATC